GACGAAACGTTTCATTAAAGAAGAACCCGTCCAGAGGACCTATACAATTTTTTTTCCCTTTTAATAAAACAAGGTCTTTGTCTGCAATGATTAGACATGTTTTTTTTATTATTGTCATTAGTGATTATCTCAATTTTGGCTAAAAGAATTGACAAAATCCTACACACTGTACCTTTAAATAAGTATCATATGATGCAGTCAAGACTAATTACTGGTGTCCAGTGTGTTAATAGAAAACAAAATAAGGATAATGGAAGTTTCCAGTTAAGATCTCAGTTAAAGTTCAGGTTAAAGTTTGGTTTTCAGTGTTCTACTCTCATAAAAAATATGTTGTTTTATTAATCCCAAGAATTTAGTAAATTGATCTTCAAATGTTTGGAAATTGCAGTTTTGAGTAAATCTTTTACAAAATTTTCTGGGTGAGTATAGCCCTGGACAATTGGCAGTGAGATTTAGAAAATTCCTCAAGGGGTGCCAACTAAAATCTTACCTAGGGCACCAAATTACCTTGGGCTGGCCCTGTTCAGCAGGTGTTTAAGGGTATTTCTGCCGTACTCTGAGCAGAGTTGGTTAACTCAAAAGTGTTTTATCTGTAGATAATTTATCGTCAATGTGCAGCTCATTGTAGGAATCCTGGCTTTCATCATTGGAGTGCTGACTCTGCTGCTGCCCGAGACGCTGGGCAAACCCTTAACAACCACCCTGGAGGAGGCCGAGTCTCTCGGACGTGACCCCAGTAAGAAGCACTCAGGTCCGAMCAACAGAGACGCAGAGGAAGGGATGGAGCTGAATCAGAACGAAACAAAGACTGCGTGCTGGAGAGAAAATAAAGACATGTCTGGAAGAACAGAATAGACKAACGAGAGGGGAAAGGGGAAAAAAGATTAATTGAAACTGTTAAAATTATTTGTTTACTTTGTGTTTTGCAACCTGACTATAGTTGCAAAGTGTTTTTAGAAGTCTGCTACATACATTCATCAGTCACTSTCTGATTATGAAGTCATTGTGTGCTTTATGAGTGGTATTTATATGTACTGTGYGAGGTAACTTACAGAAAAAATACATACTGATGGACAAACTCATCCCTTTTTTTTGCAGATAAAGTAATCCATATGATTGAACTGCTGCACAAATTTACCTTATGGGGTGCCAAGTGTAAAATAAAATGTTAAAAAAAATGTCACTAACACATTTTCATTATTTAGTTCACTTTCTGAGAGTAAAATCCTAGTAAAAAAATCACTAACATTTTCATTATTTAGCAAACTCTTGTTATGACATCATCCTGAGACAAATGGAGCTGCTGACACTGCTAACACTGCTAACGCTTTACAAAACATCAGACTCACAGTTTCATCCAGTGTCTGAGCTGCACTTCAGATACCATCCATGTTTGTTTTCATTGAGCACACTTTGAATAAAATCTTAGATGCCATCTTCAGCAGGATTAGCAGCACCGTTAGCAGCATTAGCGGTTGCTTTCGTCGCAGGATGATGACATCTAACACTTACAAGGCTGCTGTTTAACATTTTTATTTAACATTTAAATGAGCAAAATGTAAGAAAGGTGAGCCTATTAACACCAACATGTTTTTAATGTTATGTTATAAAATGTGTTAGTGACATTGTCAAATGTTTTATTTTACATTTGAGGCCCTATATTACCTCAGGTATTTTATAATACATCATTTCTGTCAACACAAATAACTTTTTTATATTAAAAGACTTGCCTATGGTGTGTGTTTTCCTGTAAAACTATCATTTGAAAAGTGTTTTAATTTATTTAAATTTTAATTTGACATCTTTCACTTCTTTAGTGTTTAAGATGCCTTTGATGAAGTTTAATTTGGAGTATAATGTGATTTTAAGTAGAGACGTGTTTAGGATGTGTATGTGTTAAATGAATAGTTCAGATCTTTTGTTATGGGGAAACAAAATGTGAACCAATAATATCTTACCTGTTGTAGATGGCTTTTAGAATGGCCTTAGTTTGGCAAAACAGAGCTTTAATTATTGCTAATTCCGTTTTATAGAACTTAATACCTTTTCTCATTGTACTGTTTAATAGTGGAAATGTAATATTCCTGACCAAAGTGCTACAGCTAGCCGCCGCCGCCTTTATTTATAGTGGCCAATAGACATGAAGTTAAATGTAAATAACTGAAATGTAAAAGTGACCGCAGTGTGAATGGCATTCACATAAACCATAATGAATTTTTGAAGTTTAAATTATTCTAAGTAGTTCATTTTGGTTTAAACTCTGCTTGTACTAGCCATTAGCTTGTTGGTCTTGTTAAAATTAAACTATTTCTCTGACCTGCATCAAAATATCTGACCTATCCTTTTAGGTTTGCGTTGAAGTTTTCTATTTGCAAAATAAAATGCTGGACACTTAAGTTAAAAGTACATAATTTCATCATTGCATTGTTTAATGTACAAAAAATACTTGTCTCTGAATGGACCAAATTTAGTTTAATAAAACAACTAGCCTCTGTACTTGAGTGTATTACAGGATGAAATTATACTTATACTTCAAATAGCCTATTTAATCTGATGTTGAGTGGTGTATTCTTGCCCAGAAGTCAACATTTTTCAATAGATAAATTATTTTTGTCATACAATAATGAATAAAATGACACTGTTCTATAGTTTGAACAGTTATAAAGGTACTGTAATTCTGAGAAGAGACTAGAAATCTTGAAATAAATAGTGTTTTCTAAAAATGAGAAAATTTTTCTTTGTTTGTCAGTTTGGAGAAATCTACTGTTCAGTTCTTACCGATTGTTAAAACAGTTTTGCTGTGCGTGTCTCTCTCTCTCTCTCTCTCTCTCTCTCTCTCTCTCTCTCTCTCTCTCTCTCTCTCTCTCTCTCTCT